TGTTTAGAATGCAGGAGAGGAGCTGAGATCACTGTCAGTCAACTCAGGACCCCAAACTCATTTACCCCGCTGCGCTGTCACCGTGGGGAGTGGTCACTGTGTGAGGCCAGGCAAAGGGCCGACAGGATGCTTAGAGTTTAAGCCCCAGGCTAAGCCCTCCTTTAAGCTGGATAAGGAGAAAATGTTTCCCTAATAGGAATTGAATCTGAAAATGTTTTAGGCATAAAATGGTGTTTCAGCTACCCTTGCCATTCCCTCTTCAACATAATTCACGCAACTGCTGAGTGCAGAAGGCACCTTCTGGTCAGAGTATGCCTCTAGTGGTGAGCAGCAGCTCCTAATTCTACAGGTGTCCGCCCCAACCAAATTTAGATGGAAGCAGGGCCTGTTAGTTAAAATGTCTATAACTAAAAGATAGGGAAATCAAAACTATAGGATAATAAAGTTTGAAATTCTGGTCTCATGTTTTACTCTTAAGCACATCAATCTCACCTGTTCTAAAAGTTATTCACCAAAGTTGGAGTTTCATTCATTCTTTAAGCAAAGACTTGCCAGTTAAAATAGATTCCAAGTTAAACTGTTTAGTCTTTCGAGGACACAACTCTTCAGTCTTTCAATACCTCCTGTAAAATTATTTTGTATCATGGGAATTTCCAAACCAAAAGTGGAGGAGTGTGGCGAGCCACCATGCCCGTCACCCTCCTTCAGTCATTATCGACATAAGTAAGACCGATCTGTCTCATCCCCCACTTCTACTCTGCAACTCCAAAGAAATACGTTAAAACAAAGCCAAGACAGCGTATCCTTTTGTCCATAAATATTTCAACATATTACTCAATGGATAAGGACTTTTTAAAAAAAACATAACTTTATTATGCCTTAAAATGTTAATAATTCCTTACTAAAAATACTCAGTGGTCAAAGCTAGCCAGTTGTATTACAAATGAATTTTTACAAAAGCAGTCATGTGCCACATAATGACATTTCAGTTGATGACAGACTGCATATACAACAGTGGTCCCACAGGATTATAATAGAGCTAAAAATTCCTATCGCCTAGTGATATCACAGCCATCATAATGGCATAGCACAACCCATTACTCACTTGTTTGTGGTGATGCTGGAACACATCACCAGCACTGCCAATTGTTTAAAAGTATAGCAATATAATTATGTACAGTTAATAATACTTGATAATAAGCAACTATGTTACTGGCTTATGTACTTAACTGTACTAGTCATTTTAGAGTCTACTTATTCAAAAAATTTGTATGCTGTGTTACGCTGGAAGCAGCCTCATACATCTTGTGTTTACTGCTTCTCTAGGTTGCCTCATTTTCTCTTATGTTCACTTTAATCACATGTTGTTTTATATAGTAACATGCTGTACAAGCTTGTAGCCTAGGGGCCAGGCTATACCATACAGCCTACGTGTGTATTGGACTATACCATCTAGGTATGTGTAAGTGCACTCTATGATGTTCGAATGATGGAATTGCCTAATGATGCATTTCTCAAAAAGTATCCCCATCACATGACTATTAAAATTTTTTAAATTTATCAATTTTAGAGACAGAAAGAAAGGGGTGGGGGAAGAGAGAGAGAGAGAGATGTTTGTTGTTCCACTTATGCATTCATTGGTTTCGTCTTGTATATGCCCTGACCAGGGATTGAACCTGCAACCTTGGAGTATCAGACTAGCTCTAACCAACTGAACTACCTGGCCAGGGCCTTACACATTTTTTATTAAGGTCGCTGATGCCCTCCATGTTGATAATTATATCAGTCATCATCTAACTTGACATGTCAGCAGCATCTGACATTATATTACTCCCTCCTTGAAACATTTTCTTCACGTAGCTTCTTGGATACTACTTTCTCCTGGTTGTCCTTACCAAGTTTCTGTGCTGCTCCATCTCCATCCTATTCTCTGGTTCCTCCTCTTCTCTCTGTCCTCTAAATGTTGAAATCGTCCAGGGTTCAATCATAGAACCCCTCCTTTTAGTCTACATTCTCTCCCTAGATAATTTTTAAAAGGTCCTTACAGTTGCCTAAAGACCTGCATAATTTGTCCAACTTCCCTGTCACCTCATGATCTAAATACCACCTAAATAACGCAAAATTTCTATATGTAGCTCAGACCTTTTTTCTGAAGTACAAACTCACATCTATGCACTTTCTTGACATCTCCATGTAGATGTCTAATAGGCATCTTAAACCTAACATGTCCAAGGCTAAATTTTTGGTTCCTGCCCATCTTAATTCATCTTTGGAAACAGTAATGCCATTCTTACAGTTGCTTAGAACCAATTCTGGTGTCTTAACAATCTTTTCCCTTGTATCCTCCGTCATATCCATCAGCAAATTCTATCAGTTTTGTGCCTTATGATATACTAAAAATCCAACCGTTTATCACTATTTTCACCTCTTGTTACCATCCTAGAATAAACCACATCAGATTGTCAGATTACTGTAGTCTCCTAACTGGTCTGTCTCATTTTGTCTTTCCCCCAGAGTCTGTTCTTAAAGCAGCCAGTCTATCACGTTAAAACATTAGGTCAGATTCTGTCAGCTCCGTGGAAAACTTTCCAACAGCTCCTTATCTCACTCAGCCCTTGAGGCTTTACACAATCCAACCTCTTTATTCCCTTTGCCTCTCTGGCCTTATTTCTTCTCCCTCTGGCTCTCCCCCTACCTCACCCTTTACTGGTCTCCTTGTGCTTAAAATACACTCCTGGCTCAGGGCCTTTGCACTTACTCTTTCCCTTAGGTATCCTTCAGGTCTCTGTTCAAATGTAAGCCTTCCCTAATATCCTATTTATATAAAAAAGAAACCACACCCACCCTGGTTTATTTTTCTCTGAAGAGCTTACCATTATATGTCTATATATATTTACTTATTGGTTTATTGTCTGCCTTCCCCCAGCCCTTTAGCCACAGGTAAATGAATACGTTGTTTTTATTATCGCTTTTTTCATTATAGAGCTCTTGTTTTATTGAAATAGGATCCTATTCAGATTTCATCTTCTGTGTGTGTTGTGGCAGCTTGCATATATCTTAACTGAAAAGCTTCTGACATAGTTCTAAGAGGACATCTTCTGTATTTGAAGAGAGTATTACAGGGGTGGGCAAAAGTAGGTTTGCAGTTGTGTGCATGGAAAATAACACAAGAACAAACTCTGTTTCCCATACTCACAACTGTAAGCCCACTTTTGCCCACCCTTGTAGGTCTCTATTCTCCAGGTTGAATCAAATCGATATAGTAAGATCTAATTTTCACTATCTCATTTTTTACAACCATTGCATTTTTTATTCTTTGCTGTATCTCCATAGACATTTAAAAGTGTACTAGTGAAAACTTCACAATCTACTAAATGACTGCCTAAAGCTGAGACGGTCACACCTCCCTCCACAGATGTCATGGATCATGTTCACAGAACAGTGGTGACAGTTACACTTTCAGTGCCTAGGCCCTCTGTTTAGGTTGAATGTTTGTCTTTATTTACTTCTTCATTTAGAATACTGACTCACAAGTTGTTATCCCTGATGTTCAGCTTATCTTTGGAGCTGCATTATTCTAATTAACCAATAGCATTTTTTGTTGATTTTTTAAAAATCCTCACCCAAGGATATGTTTATTGATTGTAGAGAGAATAAGGGGAGAGAGAGAAGAAGGGGAGAGAGAGAAACATCAATGTAAGAAACATCGATCGGTTGCCTCCCATACGTGCCTCGACCAGGGATCAAACCCACAACCTAAGTATGTGCCCTGACCAGGAATGGAATCCGCAGACTTTTGGTGCACAGGAGGATGCTCCAACCAGCTGAGGCCCCTGGCCAGGGCTGTTGATGAATTTTATATTTTATGAAATATTCTGACTCGATCTGATTTCAGCTATTTATGCTCATTTCTATTTTGTACAATATTAACATAGCTACACATGCTTTCTTTTATTACTATTGCCTGATATATTGTTTATTCCTCTGCCTTTATTTTTACCTTTTGTCATTTAGTTTGGTGTGTCTGTAGTTACATTGTGTGGCTTTTTAAAAAAAAAACATGATTATTGTCTTTTAAAAATATTTTGGTTATGTTTGAACTCAGCACAATTTTTCTTGTTTTTTTTTTTGTTTGTTTGTTTGTTTTTACTTTTCCCCTCTCCTGTCTAGGTTATACTTTTTTTTTTTTCCCTCTCTAGTGATACGGAGATTTTACTCTTACACAAACTGTGATTGTTACCAATAACTTTCAAGCATATCCATTGAAACTTTACTAATATCTAGGTAACATTTACAACACTCTTCTCCCCGAGTGTGGTGTTCCGCTGCCATGCTTGGTCCCTTCCTCCCTTCCCCCTTCCCTCCAAGAGAGACACCTGGAATTCCAGTTTTACACGTGTGTGTGTAATGGAAGGTACTCCAAAGCATTTTAAAATGTTATTCTTGATTAACAAACCAAAATGGTTTACTGGTTTTGTCTCCCATTCTTTGGGAGATTAGTTAAAATTACTGATTTGTCAAACTTTCGGGGGGCTCCTATCATGTGTCAGGCTCTGTACTGGGCGCAGGGATTGCAGCAGTTGACATGTTTCCTGTCCTAATTAAATGGGAGATATAGATACACAAGTAAATACAATTCTGAGAGATAAGGACTTAGTGGTCAGTAGTTAGATGAAGACAGCGCGTGGGGAACAGTAGGAGCTGGAAAAAAGTGATCACACCACTTTTTGAAAACGAGGGCTCTGGAGTCCACACATCCACAGCACTTTCGAAGGTTCCTCCACAGCTTCTCTTCGACTCCACCAGCAGCGAACTGCACCAGAGAACTTGAATGGTGGGCAATAACATTTTTGTGTGTTATTTCGGTCACTCCTCCTTCCCACGTCCCTTCAATTTGGCAGCGCCTACAACTCCCAGAATGCAGCGCGGGGTGGGGGCGGAACCAGTTCGCCAAACCGGGGCCTGTGATTGGTGCTGAGCGCTGGGCCAATTGAAGGAGTTGTTGTTAAGAAGTCCGTGAGAACCGGCCTGGGAGGGAGGACGGTGGCAAGATGGTCTTGGAAAGCACTATGGTTTGGTGAGGGACTACTTCGGAGCCTCGTGAGGGGCGGGACTGGATCGGGGGCGCGTGTCGCACGGAGGCCGAATGGGCCTGGGGTTGGGGCGGGAGGCCGATGGGCGAGATGCGGCCTTGGGCTGGGAGGGAAGGAGCCCTTTCGACTCCCTGAGTCATCATCCCGAGGCCCGGGAGAGGACAGGCCCAGGGTAACCCGTGTTAACCCTCACCCGCGAAGAGTCGTTGACCAGCCACCCCTGCTGCTCTTCTCCGTTCCAGCGTCGTGTTCTCTAAACCAGCCCCAGGTCTGTCTCTAGCCTGAGTCCCGTTTGCCGGACTCATCGTGATAGTCTTCTGCCCTCCTCTTCCCAACATAATAGATACGAGGAAGAGGGACTCTGATCTCTTCCCCCGTCCATTCACGCGTCTCGAACTCCTCTGTCATCTTCAGAGGTGCTGTTTATAGAGTGCTTTCTACGTGTCAGGCATTAATTTACTTCATCTCACTTGAACCTTACAACACTTTAAGTTTACAGATGGGGATAACGATAATTTTAAATGACTTACTCAAAGTCACACAGCTAATTAGGTGGTGAGGCTAAGATTTTAAACCCAAGACTCTGACACAAACGCGAGCCAGCTCTCTATCGGTCCCAGACTTGGGCTGAGAGTGCACTGAGTTGGATTAGAAGCTGAGGACACAGACTCTTAGAAAGTCGCAGGAGTTTCTTCTGTGTGTGAGCAAGGCATTGCCAGATAAAAAACATAGGATGCCCAGTTAAATATGAATTTCAGCTCAATAATACTTTTCAATATAAAAAATGGATCTATGTCCCAAATATTGTGTGAAACATACTTCCACTAAAGAGTTAATTTGCTATGTACCTGAAATTCAATTTTAACTAAGAGTTGTGTATTTTTGTTTGCTAAATCTGGCAACCCCTGGGAGAGAGCATGTTAGAGTGCACAAAGGACAGGATTTGGAATCCAGAAACCTGTTTGTTTGTTTGTTTGTTTGTTTGTTATTTACCAGTTGCATGTTCTAGAGAATGTAGTAAATCTATCTGTAAAATGGGAGTAATACCCACTCTCCTTATAGCACAGTTAGATAAAATGTAAGCGATGGTTCTCTGTAGATAGTACAGCACTGCCCGTGTATTAGTTGCCATGGTGCTTGAGGAGCCCTCAAGAAAGAACTTCAGAGGAGCCCATGGGCAGGGACTTAGACAAATATTGGGAAGAAGAAGGCTTTCTAGTTAGGGGGAGGGCATAAAGCTGCTGAGATGTAAATGCCCAAGGCAGGCTTAGGGATTAGAACTTTGACTAGTGTGACTTTATTATAAGGTCGTTGGTTGAAGGGAGTTCCTTTATTTTTCCAAAGGTAGATGGGACCAGGTAGAAGACCACAAATGTCAAACTGGCAGTGGCTGAACTCTGTCTTGTACCCCTCAGCAGAGGACTGTTGGAAAGTTTTGAGATGGTGGACACAGAGCTGTATGCAAAATGACATTTAATAATGATCTGGCTTGGTGGAGGAGAAAATATTTGGCCCAGAGAGACATATTGGTGGCCTATTGTAATAGCTGAGGCACAGGATAATGATAAGAGCCACTCCTTTTTTTCTGTGGGGCCTCATGCTTTGCTTCCCTCAGATTCTCTGAAGGAGTTTATTAAAAATTACCACTGTTTGACTCTTGTCCATCTGCTGAGTCAGACTCCCAGCCAGGGAAGTCCAGGCATGTGTAGTCTTTTTTTAATGAAGACTTTTATGGAATAACTGGACAATATCATAAGCCCTTGTTTTGATAAGGATTTTTGTTGGAAAAAATTATATACTGTTAAGCAAGAGTAGTCACAAGAAACACATATTCCATTCATATAAAGTTCAAAATTGGGAAAACTAAGCAACGTGGTTTTCTGGGATGCGCACATAGGTGTTAGGCACCTGTGTTTTTAACTCCGCCGCCCTTGCCATCACCCTCCCAGTGGTTCTGATGCATGACGGAGTGTGAGAACTACTGCTGTGTTCTCCACTGTCTCTCTCTCAAGCCCCCTTTTCTTTCTTTGACACTTTCTTCCAGTCCTCATCCATTTGCTGGTCTTGCCCACAGTCCTTATATAGTGGAACCTCGGTTCTTGAACTTAATTCATTCCAGAATGCTGTTTGAAAAGCGATTTGTTTGAAAACCAAATATCCTTTGTTGCCTGAGAGATGTGTGACTGATCATTCAGGTATCAGCATGAAAGTTGTTGGATTGAGAACTGAAGTTTGTTTGACAGCGGAGACATTTTTCTGTAAATAACTTGGTTGTAAACTGAATTGTTCAAGATGGGAGACATTCGAGAACTGAGGTTTTACTGTACTTAGTAGCTATTCTAGCAAGATAATCTGCAAAGCCTCCATTGGTTTTTATTTGGACTGATCACTGTATTTTAAACTAAAGAGGCAGTTACTTCCGTGCTGGGGGAATAAACAGAAACAGTGTATTGGAGGGAAAAAGAATAATAATGCATGGTCAGTAGAGCCAGCCCTTGACCTCCTTTATGTAGACTGAGTTTCCATTATAAGAACTAGTCTGTGTTTCATGCTTACTGTTAGGCATTGTGCTAAGTACTTTCTGTGCATTTAATTCTCATAGCAATACGATAGGGTTGATACAATAAAACTCATTTATAGATGAGATAAGTGGAACTTAGAGACATTAAGCAACTTCCTGAGAATCATGGAACTAGCCAGTTGCAGAATGGAGATTTGAACCTATGCCTGAAGAACACTACCCTTTACTCCCTGTTATACTTACCTTCCAGTAGCTACTTAATTATCTCTCTCCATCATTTTTGGTTTCTATTTCTTGCCACGCAAAGGATACTAAAGAAGAAAATTGCCTCCCTAGCCCATATTTTGCTTGCCAATAAAAATGAGGTGCCATATCTAGGACACAGCTTTCTTCATTAGCACAGATAGAATCGTTGACTTAGAGTTCTAAGGGACCTTGGTCATCGAGAATTGATTCTGTTCATGGGCTGTATACCTGCCTTCTTTCGGTCTCTGGGAAGCTGGAGCTTGTAGTTCATGTGATCTGGATTCTTGAAGATTATCAAAAGTTGCAGGGATAGAAGAGGTGAGACCCCAAAACCATGAAACCTCATTTTTGCAGTTCAGTCCAGCTGTTACACATTTAACCAGATGACTGCATGGTATTTTCCTGCACTCGGTGCTGCCAAGTGGATTATTTTCTAAGTATTTTTAAGTTGCCATCTTCATTTCTTACCTTTGGAATACTCCCATTTTAATGGCAGACTTAGAATGTTCATCCATGGCAATGCTTAATAGCACTTAAAAGCACCTTATAAAAAGGTGGTTGTGATACATCAGTAGATTGCAACCTTCGGTGCTTATCAGAATCACTTGTGGAGATTTAAATGTTTTTTTCTTCCTTTGGTCATTTTGAGTCAGTAAGTCTGTGTTAAGGCTCAGTCATCTGTATATTAAAAAAAAGAGCCACAGGTGACTCTGCCTTCCACAAAGACTGAGAGGCACTGTTATCCCCAACGGGGCCTCTTGCAGGAGAGGTGGTGGAGGAGGTGGAGGTCTCTGGAGCTGGAGAGGATGCCTCGATCGTACACAATGTGTCTTTTCTCTTCTTCACTCCTAATCTAATAGCGTGGACAACAGCGAATATATGCGGAATGGGGACTTCTTACCCACCCGGCTGCAGGCACAACAGGACGCTGTCAACATAGTATGTCACTCCAAGACGCGCAGCAACCCTGAGAACAACGTGGGCCTCATCACACTGGCCAAGTGCGTGGGGCGGGGGATGAGGGGGTTTGCGCAGGTGGGTGGGGATTTCCCACACGTTACCTGCTGTGGCATCAAGGTTGCTACCCTTTCTTTTATAGATTTCAGGAGGCTGCTTTTGCCCGTCGCCTTTTTAGACTACCTTTCTCACTGTTTAGTGCAAATGTAAATAGTAACTTGTTTTTAATATTAACCTGCAATTTTTTCCTTTTAAAGATTTTATGTATTTATTTTTAGAGAGAGGGGGAGGGAGAGAGAAAGAGAAGGAGAGAAGCATCACTTGGTTGCCTCTGGTACGTGCCCCGACTGACCAGGAACCTGGTCCACAGTCCAGGTGTGCGCCCTGACTGGGAATCACACTGGCGACCTTTTGCTTTGCAGGACGACGCTCAACCAATTGGGCCACACCAGTCAGGGCAATTATTAACCTGAATTTAATACAGTTTTGAAGCTCAATTTCCTGGTGTAAAATTTCACAGTATATTTTAAAGTCAGTGAAAAGGGTTTTTGGGTCAGAGCCCTAGGGCATATTTCACACATCCTGTTACCCCAAAAGTGACTTACTTATAGGAATTGATAATCCTCGAATGAGTAACTGCCCGTCCCAGCATACATGTTGTTACCTGGAAAATGAGTCTAGAAATGGAAACAGTGGGAGAAAGACACAGTGGCACCAGCTGCGCTGGAGGATCCTCAGGCCTGCCAGCAAGATAACCTGCGAGGAGTAGGGGGAGACATTGGGAGGAAGAGGACAGGTCTTACAGAGTCGGCCACTGGTTTTCTGTGCCACACATCTGCTGAGTACTAGATATTTTCTTCCCGTTTTACTGAGATATAATTGATACATAACATTGTATAAGTTTAAGGTATACCACATAATGATTTGATAAATGTATATACAGTTGACCCTTGAACAATATGGGTTTGAACTCCATGGGTCCACTTATATGTAGATTTTTAAAAATAAATGTACAGTTGGCTCTTCATATCCCCAGGTTTTATATCCACTGACTAAGCTAATTGTGGTTCAGAGTCAGTATTTTTTATCGCAATTTGGAATCCCGGATGTGGAGGGCCAACTATATGTGTTGTTCTGTGCCATTTTTATATAAGGGACTTGAGCATCTACAGATTTTGGTGTGTGTGTGGGGTTCCTGGAACTAATCCCTAGTGGATACTGAGGAGCTGGTTAAGTTTTGGGAGAGTTAAAAGTTATACATGGGTTTCCAGCTGTGCTCCTAATGCCAGCATTGTGGAAGGGTCAACTGTAGTGTGAAGCGATTACGACAATAAGTTTAGTTAACATCCCTACCCCACATAATTACAATTTGTTATTCCTCATGGTGAGAACTTTCAGGTGTTTGATTAAGAAAAATAGAAATTACAGTTATTTCCAAGTTCTCTAAGGAAAAGATGAGTCAAACATAGTTTGGAGACACTGTCTTGACCTGAAATCATAGAAATGTTTTCCCCACGTTCCAGTGACTGTGAAGTGCTGACCACGCTCACCCCTGACACCGGCCGCATCCTGTCCAAGCTTCACACTGTTCAACCCAAGGGCAAGATCACCTTCTGCACTGGCATCCGCGTGGCCCACGTGAGTCCTCCTGGAGCCCTTACTTTTTCCTCCTTGCTCTGATGTTCTGCCTCCATGGTTTTCATTTCTCTCTTGGAATCTTGAGCTAGAACCAGAGCAAGGGAAGAGAGATGATCTAGAAAAAGGAAGAGAAAGGGTGCGACGGGGTGAATCACAAGAAGGGAAGGGTGAAGGAAGGGGTTTAGACCTGGTGTGAGCATGATTCTGGCTGGGAGCCTTGAGGTGTGTGGAAACGATAAGAAAACAACAGAGGGACAGAGGGAAGAGCTCAGTGATTCCCCTGGCTGACTCCGAGAACTTCCTCTTTCTTTGCAAGTTGGCTCTGAAGCACCGACAGGGCAAGAATCACAAGATGCGCATCATTGCCTTTGTGGGGAGCCCTGTGGAGGACAATGAGAAGGATGTGAGTCCAGGGGAGAGCTGGGGAGATTGGGTGGAACGTGTTTGGGGATAGGGTCTGCCAGCCCTTAGGAGAGCCTGGCCGAGGTTCATGAGCTTGGGGAGAGGTGAATATGCAGAGTTTCGGGTTTAGTGGGGGACCTTGGGGAGGCCAGCTGACTTCTGTATGTTTTTGTGAGGTGTGTCACTCCCCCCCGCACGCCTGCTCCCCGCCCTGCCCCCGCCCCCGATATGGAACAGATTTCCTCATTTTTCTTTCTCCCTGTTCCCAGCTGGTGAAACTGGCAAAACGCCTCAAGAAGGAGAAAGTAAATGTTGACATTATCAATTTTGGGGAAGAGGTGAGTAAGGACTGGCTGGGGGGCGTTGGCTTGATTTGGCTGTAAACTGAGAACAGTCCTTACCCAGAGGAGCGGCTGCGCTGTGGGAGAGGAGCTACAGGCCAGGACTGAAAAGGCAGAGAGTGGGGAGCGAGCAGGGCCGAAAGGCAAGTCTCTCATGGTCTTTCCTCCCCTAGGAGGTGAACACGGAAAAGCTGACAGCCTTTGTAAACACCCTGAATGGCAAAGATGGAACCGGTTCTCATCTGGTGACAGTGCCTCCTGGACCCAGCCTGGCTGATGCCCTCATCAGCTCTCCAATTCTGGCTGGCGAAGGCGGTGCCATGCTGGGTCTCGGTGCCAGTGACTTTGAATTTGGAGTAGATCCCAGTGCTGATCCTGAGCTGGCCCTGGTGAGCAAACATTGACCTCAGGTAGAGCCCAAGGGTCCTCCTGCGTCTACTGACACATCCGTATGCCACATGGCTTCTTCAGGGCTAGACAGCTCTAAACACCCTCGCTCATTTCCCCAGACACCCTGCGTTTGGTCCCTGTGCTGCATGATTCTGTCTGCTCTCTAGGGGCATCACTGTCAGACTCCTGTTCCCTTCTCCTGATTAAACTCCAGGCTTCTCCCCAAAGTCCTTTTTCTCCTGTATCACCTCTCCAGCTTCTCCATATGTATAAACCAGAAACTGCCTCTGTGCTCCTTTGCCACCCCGCAGCTGATTTCCCCGTGAGTGAGGGCGGGTGGGAGAGCATCTGACAGTGTCCTGCTCTTTGCCAGGCCCTTCGCGTTTCTATGGAAGAGCAGCGGCAGCGGCAGGAGGAGGAGGCGCGGCGGGCAGCTGCAGCCTCAGCTGCCGAGGCTGGCATTGCTGCGACTGGGACTGAAGGTGAAAGAGGTGGAAACTGAAGTCCCGGGACTGCAGCGCGCTCCGTGGAAGCTGGTGTAGACACGGGAGTGGGGGTCTGGCAGTGTGGGCCCGTGTGGGCTGAGGAAATGCTTTGGGCGTGGGTGTGTATGAAGCACGGCACCAGTTCGACCTGGCCGCTCTCCTCCCTTTCCAGACTCCGACGACGCCCTGCTGAAGATGACCATCAGCCAGCAGGAGTTCAGCCGCACTGGGCTCCCTGACCTAAGCAGTATGACCGAGGAGGAGCAGATTGCTTATGCCATGCAGATGTCCCTGCAAGGTGCAGGTGAGTCAGGGCCTGCGGTAGTTTTTAGGCAGAGAGCTTGGGATGGGGAAATGGAACTGAACAGACTGACCTCTTTTCCTCAGAGTTTGGCCAGGCAGAATCAGCTGACATTGATGCCAGTTCAGCCATGGACACATCTGAGCCCGCCAAGGTGAGGGCCGGTGATGACTTCCTGCCCCCGTCCGGCGCAACTCCCCCTGGTGTTCAGATCCTCAGCTCTCTAGGCCCGGGGCTGTCCTCTCTCAGGGCTCTAGGGACGAGCTCTTGGAGAAACAGAAGGAAATAGACACATGGGTCTATGTTTCTTGTATGTAAAGCTTGCTCAGGCAATAGAATGCTAGTGGTCGGGGTAGGAGAAGTGGCTCAGTATTCTAGTTTTCCATCCTTGCTGGTGGGAGCAGCCTCATCTGGACAGTTCTCTAGGATGTCATCTTCCTAGGAGAATGAAAAGAGGGACTAGGAAGAAGAAAAAGGAGGAGTGGGTGTTGAATAGCAGGAAACCTGAACATGGTGGCATCTGACTTTACCCTTTGGGCTCAGGAAGCAGAGCTCGCAGGTGTCCCCTCTGTTTGGCCAGTAATAAGTGTTTGCGTTCATACCACGTATAGGCACTGGGCATTTCCTGAATCGCCCTGCCCACCCTCGGCCAGAGGAGTCCCCCCCACCCGCCCCCCGGACAGGCAGGGAGAGGGGCTCAGGCAGCAGCGCGCTCCCAGGCCCTGCCCTGCGCTGACGCTCCCCTTTTTCAGGAGGAGGATGATTATGACGTGATGCAGGACCCCGAATTCCTTCAGAGTGTGCTGGAGAACCTTCCAGGTGTGGATCCCAACAATGAGGCCATTCGAAATGCCATGGGCTCCCTGGCCTCGCAGGCCACCAAGGACGGCAAGAAGGAAAAGAAAGAGGAGGACAAGAAATGAGACTGGAGGGAAAGGGGAGCTGAGCTGAGCCTACTCAGGGGCTGCACAGGGTGGGGTGGGATATAGGGCTAGATATGATATCTGTAACCATTACAGCCTAAATAAAGCGTCGCAGTTTTTTTCTTCAAATAGTGATAGCTTTGAGTGAGAGAGGGGCATATGGTATGAAGGAGAGCATTCCCTGTTGAGTTCTCTGTGTCTTCCATACCTAGTCTCTAAATCCTGGTCTCTCCTTACATTTCCCCTGCCCTGGGGCTAATTTGCTTGCGTGAAGGGTAGCTTTGCTGGGAGTCATTGTGTTAGGCACTGGGGCCTCATAAATAGACAGCAGCACCGGCCTTTGGGGACTCAGAGTCTAGGGCAGGGCGGGTGCGTAAATGGGCGATTACACACGTCCGCTGTGCCCCAAGGAGCCGTGAGCAAGGCTCCCTGGAAACGGCGAGGAGAAAGTGCCGAACTCTCGCAGCCTCCGGAAAGGCTCCTGGAGGTAACATCTGAGCTTTCTACTGGTGAAAAGTTGTTCATCAGCTGGCAAGGAAGACAAAGGGATGTTTCCAGTCAATAGGAACAGTATGTGCTGGTGGTGTGGAGGTGCTTTGGAGGAACTGAGTAGCTCAGAGGCTGGTTGGGTGAGTGGCCTGAGAAAGGTGGAAAAGTAGGCAGCAGTCAACACCAAAGATCAGGGGTCCTTGAGGCCTGACTGTGAAACCTTGGAGCCCCAAATTTAGAGGAAAGCTTTTTGTAGGGTATGGGATAGAATGCAAAATTCACATAATGTCACCCTTTATTATATTAAAGAGGTAAATAATTGACACATAAAATACTTATGTGTAAGCTATAAAGCATAAGAAAAAAAAAAGGAACATATCTGAGGTTACTCAAATTTAAGAGCTAGAACATTTCCTGGCCACATACCTATGCCTTCTTGAACCTACCTCTCCACATGCTCCTCAAAGATAACTATTTTCCTTTCACAGTTTTCTCATATACACATAGCTTCCTGACCAGGATATGTTTAGTTCTATTTGTTTTTGAGCTTTACAAAAAACACTTATATACTGTGAGATTTTCTGGACTTGTTTTTTTTAACATTTTGTTTCTGAGGTTCATCAAAATTGTATGTACCTATTCACTTTTCATGATTGTACAGTATTACATTCTGTGAATAGACTACAATCTTTATTTCCCTATTGGTAGACATTTGCATTGCTGCCAATTATTTTTTTATTATCAACGGGGTTACAGTGGAGGTTTTTATACATCTCTCCTGATGCACCTGTGCAAGAGTGTCTTTAGGATACTTTACAGGGTGATGCCGAATCGTTTCTCAAAGTGGTTGTGCAAATCTGCACTCCTACAATGTAAGAATTCCTACTGACCACGTCCTTTCCGGAACTTGATACCGTTAGTACATCTTAATTGGTGTCAATCTAGTGAGGATAAAATGATCACTCATTGTGGTCTTAATCTGTATTTCCCTGCTTACTAATGAGATCAGTCATCTTTTCATATATTTCTAAATAAGTTTTTGTATTTTTTGTGAAATGTCTCTTCATATCTTTTGTCCATTTTTCTATTGGGTTGTCTTTATATTGATGTTCTGTAGGGTGCTTTATTCTTGATACTAAATCATTATTGGTTATGTGCATATAGATATAGATATATAGATATATTGCAAATGTGTTCCCTCTATTTATGACTTGCCTTTTCACTTTTTAAAAGGTGTACTTTAGTGAACAACATCTTTGATGTCAAATTTCTTAGTCTTTTCTTTCAAGGTTAGTGATTCTTGTGTCCAGAAAACTTCCAGAGGCCAGAAAGATACTCTGTTTTCTTTTTAAAGTTAAATGGTTTTGTGCATCTGTAATACAAAGACTCAGATTTTTTTCTTCCTGAATAGGAAAACCCAGTTCTTTTCCCCTGTGTGTTTCTCTCATGGGAGTCTCCTTCACACACCGCGCTTTATTCCTGACACTTCTGATCACCAAATATGTAGAGTTTTTCCCACACCAACAAGTAATTCTGGGACACCAGCTGGATGTCCAAGAATTCAACTCAGTTCCAACACTGTTTACCTAGAGACAGCATCAGATTCCACAAGCTAAGGGCTCAGTCCCATCAGACAGCCCTCCTTCAGATGCCAGTTGCTAGCCCAGGTTGTCACCTGTGCTTCTGACCAAATGGCTGTAGATGGGAGGCTCCCGTGACCTTCTCCCCCATGGGTCTGATTACTTTGCTAGAGTGGCTCACAAAACAGGGAAGCACCTATGTTTACCAGTTTATTAAAGGAGATGATAAGTGACACAAGTGAATATTCAGAGGGGAGAGCTGTGTGGGGCAGGTATGAGGAGGGGCGTGGCACTTCCATGCCCTCTCTGGGCGCGCCACTCTCCCAGTGCCTCCGTGTGATCAGCAACCTGGACGCTCTCTGATCTCCCTGCTGTTGAGATTCTGTGGAGGTTTTTCACATAGGCCTGATCCATTAGCTCCATTTCCAGTCCCTCTCCCCTCTCTGGAGAAGGGGAGTGAGGGGAGCTCGAAATTCCAAGCTTCTGAATCATGGCTGATCTTTGTGGTGACCAGTGCCTACCCAGGAACCTGTCCAGAGTCGCCCCATTAGAATAAAAATGCTCCTAGTGCTCTTATCACTTAGGAAATTACAAGGGGTTTAGGAGCTCTATGCTAGGAACCAGGGGCAGAAACCAATATATATATTTTATATTATGTCACACTTTTACATAAAAATTTCTTATTCCATCCAGAATTGGTTTTTGTATACACCGAGAGAGGGATGTAATTTTAATTTTTTATTATTTTTTTAAATATCTTTAGAGAGGGGGGAATGGATGGAGAAAGAGAGGGAGAGAAACATCAATGTGTGAAACATCGATCGGTTGCTTCTCTCACACCCCCAAGTGGGGAACTTGCCTACAACCCAGGCATGTGCCCTGACTGGGAATCGAACCAGCAACCCTTCGACTTTCAGGCCAACACTCAGTCCACTGAGCCACACCAGCCAGAGCTAATTTCAATTTTTTAATATGGGAAACCACTTGTTATAGCACTGTTTATTGAGAAATCCCTCCTTTCCCCAGTAATCTGAGCTATTCTGCCTGGGCCAATGTTCCATGAATTTCATTTTCAGTATCACAAAGTCAGATCTTAAAGCCTGAATGTAAATGAGGTTCAACAAAATGAAACTAGAAAACCTACTTACTGTTTGCACTATATGGATGAGTTCCATTTTGATACTCGTGTCTAAAGTTTGGGGGAGACTAATCAAGTATTACAAGAAGTAATCAACTTCATCAACTAGTCAACTAGGGCTTGGGAATCTTACAGGTGTTGGTTATAAAGGTAGTAGTCACTTCAGCTGTCCTGGGCCTCGGTGTGGTTCCCCAAGCAAAATTGTCTTCTGGCAGAGTCCGCCCATCAAGTAATGACAGGACCTGTGTCCCTGGTGTCCTCTGCGTCCCAACTGGGCCACCTCAGTGTTCATGAAGATGACTTAGCCAATGCCTTGGCCTCTTCCAACTTAGAGATCATCATCACACTCCATTCTTTCATGCTTGCAGCTGCATCCTGGATCGTGTCCATCTTAGGAAACGCTCCCTGCTGAAGCCACAGACCCCTATCCTCTCAGCTCTCCCATTCTGATATTCTCTGTACACTTTGCAGCAGTACTGTGCAGAAATGCATGTACAATCAGGCACCACAAAACGATGTTTCTGTCAATGACAGACCACATAGACAGTGGCGGGCCCTTGGGATTATAATAGAGCTGGAAAATTACAAATGCCTAGTGACATTGTAGCCTCTTATGACGCTGTTGTCATTGTAATGTAGTGCAACAAATTCCATGTCTGTGGTGATGCTGGTGTAAACAAACCTAACTCTGCTGCCAGTCGTATAAGAGTATATCACATACAATTATGTAAAGTACAAAATACTTGATAATAACTATGTTACTGATTTATATATTTACTATACTTTTTGTTGTTATTTTACAATGAATTATTTCTACTTAAAATTTGCTGTAAAACAGCATGCATGTTTACGCCAGCAGCAGCCTCATACATCTCATGGTAACCATGTCTCTTGACCGCATCATTTTCTCTTGTGCTTGATTTAAGCCATGTTTTGTACAGTAACATGCTGTACAGGCTTGTAGCCTAGGAGTAATAGGTGACACCATATAGTCTAGGTGTGTAGTGGGCTACACCATCCAGGTGTGTGGAAGTGCACTCTGTGATGCGCATGACGACAAAATCACCTGATGACGCATTTATCAGAACACATCCCCATCATTAGGCAGCACATGACTGCTCTTTGGGCAATTCTACTTTAGGAATTTACTCTAAATAATCAGAGAAGTGGCAAAGGATTATGTACAATGGTGTTGAAAAAGTTGGAAACAACCTAATGCCAAACAATTGTTACATTAATATGGAATAATACACTCGCAATGAATTTTTTTTTTTTTCTCACTGGAGGTCATTTTTTTTTTCATTGCTTTTAGAGAGAGAGGGAGGGAGGGAGAGAGAGAAACATTGATGCAAGAGAGAAACATCGATCAGTTGCTTTCTTGTACTTGCCCTACCAGGGTCATAAACCCACAACCTGGGTATGTTCCTTGACTGGGAATTGAACCTGTGAGCTTTCATTCCACCAGCCAGGACTCACTCAATACATTTATTTTAGAAGAACATTTAATGACATTGGGTATATGATTTATTATAATATTAGCAAATGGTTATGTAACAGGGACTGTTATAAATACATGTTTTAAATCATTTAGTTTTCACAACAACCCTATGAGATAGCTGTAGCATTATTAATCCTATTTTATAAATAAGGAAACTGAAACCGGAGACACTGGGTAACTTACTCTGTGATGATGGCTCTGATGGTATGGTCCATGAACCTCTAAGGTCCCAAGACCCTTTCAGGGGGGTTGTGAGGTCAAAATTATTTTAATAATAATACTATGATGTTATTTGCCTCTTGCACTGTGTTGGTACTTGCACAAAAGCCATGGGGGTAGAACTACTGGTGCTTTTGAATAAATCCAGGAAAATAAGAGAGAAAGAGAAACATTGATGTGTACGAGAAATATCAATCAGTTGCC